TCTGTGTGGTGAGCAACCAGAAGTAATCATAATACATCTTCCAGCACTAAACATTTCACCACAGCCATGCTGGTTGCAAGCTCTAAGATCCCAGTGCCTGTACTAGAAATGAAATCTCTTCCACGCCCAAATTTAAAATGTTCTGTGGAGGATGTGGTTTTATTCATTGTCAGCCCCAGCTCTCGCTGGAACACACTCTTCCAATTTGTCCAGAGGGTTGTCAACAGGCTGCCCATGTCGCCCTTTACCTCTTGGGCTGCTGTTCTTTGTGGTATTTTGCAATAACTCACAAATAACTCTCTTCACCACTATCTCTGCTTTAAAAAGTAAACCACATTTTTCTTCTATTTGGAAAAAAAATCAAAGTTTTTCAAAATAACACAGTCACCAGATCAAAGCAGCCTGGTCATGTAGACCAGCCCAGGAAAGCCATTCCTCGCTGAGTCACCGAGGCCTGAATGAATGGCTTTCTTTGCAAGTCTCCTTTTCAACGGATGTAACAGAAGACAATTTAGACACGTGTCCATCAGTTCAAGTCTTGTGTGTGTGTGTGTGTGTGTGTGTGAGAGAGAGAGAGAGAGACAGAGAGAGACAGAGACAGAGATACAAAGACAGAGAGATCAACTAAATGCATAAACTTTATACAAAAATTACAAGATTCTTGACTTCTATTTCAAAGATGTGTTTATTAAGAGAGAAGACTCAGAGAGACTTTAAAGAATGAGAGAAGGCTGGCTGGGACCCCAAAGCCTAGAGCCTACACCCAGACCCAACCATGGTCTACCCTGTACTGACCCCGCCAGTGTTCATGAGCACCTCATCCAACCTGAAATTCCAAACCTCCATCTTGATTTTCTCCACCTCATCCTTCCTGAAGACCCAAGTCAAATACTAGCTCTTTAGGAAGTCTTTTGGTCTTAGATATCCTCTAAACTCTGAAAAATAATTGAAGACCTCAAAAAGCTTTGATTTCTACAACTACATCCATTGATTGAATTCAAAGGGAAAACAAAAATTTTAAATATTTACTAACTTTTTAAAATTACTATAACAAACCACTAGATGTTAACATAAATAATGTTGTTTATAAAAATGTAACCATATTTTCCAAAGCAAAAGAAAATTAGTAAGAAAAGTGACATTGTTTTCATGTTTGCAGATCTTTTTAATGTCTGGCTTAATAAAAATCAGCTGAATTTTCACATCTCTCCTGTACTCAATCTGTGTGCTATCACACACCACACAACCTCTGGAAAACTCCACTGTACACTCACATAGGAATGAAATTAAAAGACTCATAACATCTTGGAAGTACAGGTATCATGTAAACATGTAAATGGTCTTGAACTCAGATATATTTGGGAACTCCAACCACATTCAGGGAATTATTGGTCTGTGATAAAGAGTCTTCTCTAGTAGATGAAGAGGATGTCGTATATATACCAAATGGAATCATACTCAGCTATAAGATATGATGGAATCTTGCCATTTATGACAACATGGATGGAATTTGGGGGATTATGCTAGTAGATTAAGATAGAAAGAGAAAGACATATACCAGACAATTTCACTCATATCACTGAGACACAATCAAAACAAAACATAAACCCTTAGATTCTAACAGAGCTGTGGTTGTCAGAGGTGAAGTGGGAGGTGGAATGGCTGGGGGGGCCACTGGATGATGGTGGACACATGAAAAAAATCTCTGGTTAAATTCATGCATTGATAAAACAACTTTGTGGTGAGCAAGTCTCTGGCCCCACCAAATCTAGAAACTGGAGACACACTGGCCTTCACCTGAGTGTTTAGAGAAGAACCTTGTTTGATAAGACTAGTCCCCAGGAGGATGTGAATTTCCTGTTGATGGCCCTTAGCCCCTCTGAGGCCCACTTTCAGTCAATGCTACCCAAAGAGATTATGCAGGTCTCATGTGTGACTTTAAATTTTCTACTTGCCATGCCTTCAAAGAGACAGATAAGGACCTCCCTGCTGGCACAAGGGGTTAAGTCTCAGCATTATGAAGCTATCAGCAGCCACTGCAGCATGAGTTCGATCCTAGCCAGGGAGCTGACCCACATGGTGCAGCAGACCTCTCCTGTCTCGCTCACTGCTCCCCTCAGCAGTGTATTTCAGTCAATCTACCTGCTCTGCTCTCCACTCTTTCTCTAGTGAATGCTCTCACCCTCCTATCCTGCACCTCTGGCCTACACCCAAGTTCTTATATGCATAAATAAATAAAATAAATCTTTAAAAAGAGACAGATAAAAGTATTTTAATAATATATTTTGCTTGACCCAGTATACCCAAAATGTTATTGTGTAAGCAATATAAAAATGGTCAATGGATATTTATATCCTATTTTTCTTAACTTTCAGCTCTTGCTGGTTGTGATGCTCAAGAGTGCAAAGAGAAACTCAAAAAGAGTTCAGAACTTTTGAGAAGCAGAGGTTGGAAGTATGTGCCAAAGACTTCTCACTAAAAGTGCTCTTCGATGTTTGAAAATATTTCCTTGTTATTGTATCCAATTGTTAGACAACAGGTGTCAAAGTATACATGCAAATCAAAGCAATGAAGTAAAATACAATCAAAATAGTGCATATATGATTCTATTTATGTAGATCCACAGAATTAATCTTTACAGTTAGGGCAGGATAGTGATTATCCTTGGGGGAAAGGTGTTACTCAGAAGCATACAGGGGTGTCATATCTGTATCTCTATCTGGGTGCTGGTTGCACAGGTGAGTTCAGCTAGTGAAAACTCATCAAGCTGTTCACGCATAACACGTGATTTCTGTGTAGGTCTATAGGCACATGTGTGTATACATATGTAAACATGCACATCTATGCATATCTATGACTACAATAGTCAAAATAAAACATGATAAGGACTTGGGGTTCTTCCTTTGTAAAATGCCATGATTTAAGGATCTAAAATTTGGACACAATTAGGAGGCTTTTGTTGGCATCATCTTCATAAAGGATGACTGTAGCATGAAAGATATACGCTGCTGAAGTTCTTTTTTTATGGGTGAATAAATCAAACATTAACTTCCTTTTCACCTTAATTAATTTGAATATCAACCATGTGATGGCAAAAAAAAAATCTCCAAAAGTATATTTTGAAGTAGGATCTAATAACTTAAAATTTTGTTTGAATATGCGAATGAATCTTCTTTATTTCAGGATATACATATTCCTTAGATACTAATCTACTCCGGCTCTTCCTTATCTGCACATGAAATATGCAGCCCATTCCTTTGGGATCGCTTGGAAAATCTGTTCCTTATGAGAAACTTGGAAACTAGCATTTGCTAAATACAACATTCAAAGAAAAATGCCATATTATCAAGAAGAATCATTATTACCTTAATTTTATTATATATGGTGATTAAGACATTCTCAAATGTATAGAGCATTGCAAAGGAGGAGCCAAATAGAAACCAAGAGATAATAGAAGACATATATGTATAATCAGGATTCAACTTTATCTCCCTGGAACAACTCTGATACCTTCCCCTCACCTCCACACACAGACGCAGCAACAAGTCTGGCACCGAATAAAGAGAAACCCATAGAAACTAAATTCAAGACCCGAGGTGCAATCTGGAATGACAGGGACCCTGTGGCCTGAGTCTACAGCTCTTATACAAAGCAATATAACCCCATCAACCAAGGGACTTCTTAATTCAGGTCATGCCCCTTAGAAACAGAGAGAAGGGGTTGCTTCCTAAACCAACTCCTCACTGCCCAGACCCCCCAGAGGTGCCTTTAGAACAGCTGCACTGTAAATTAATGACTGACTTCTTACCAGTCTTTTCTTCTCTAAATTGTGAGCCCCTGTTGGGAACAGTATTTAAGGTAGCTCTTGAATTTAATTTAAAATATTTTTACTAAAATAGAAAAAAAAAGTTCCAACAATTAAATGCCAAAAGAACTAACTCTAGGCTAAAAAGGAAGAAAAAAAAAAAAAACATTGTTGAAGTATGGAGTCAATAAAGGCATATTTATTACGGCCAGACTTAAAATATAAGCAAATAAGCAAGGAAAGAGGATAGCTATAGGCCTTTAAAATAGATACAAAAGTCTTTTTTTTTTTTTCAGTTACCCCAGAAGATGCACCTTAAGAGGCCTCCGAGGAGAGAGTTGCTGACATTTGTCTCTTACACTACTGTGTGGCCAGTACTTGGCATTGCTCCCCAGCCTGTGGAATGTCAGCATAGGGTGTCCCTCACTCACAGAATATATAAATGAACTCACTGTCCTAAAGCACATGGTGGCCATTTCTAGAGGGGTCTCTGCGCTCTAACACTCCCAGAAAGCTCCACAGTCCAACCCATCACAGTCACCTGGAGAGCTAGTTAGAATGTCCCTGTCACAGCAGAAAGGCAGCCTGTAGGGCTCTAGCGCCTACATTGCTAAGCCCAGCACAAAAGGGTGGGCTGGGAGCTGATGGTGAATAGTGCCATCTCCAAGATATTGGTGTCACCAAGTAAACACATCACCAGACCATTCAGAGGGAGCTCGAGAATCCAAAAAGAGACTAGACAACGTCGCCACATATGATAAAGAACCCTTCTTGCTTGGACCAGCACACGCTGCTCTTCCACAGTGAATCCCAGATTTTCCATACAGTGATCCAAAAGCATTCACCAGCCTTCGCAACTTACAGACCAAAGAAACGATGAACTTAAGTAGAAGTAAATGCAGCATGGTTCAGATGTGATAGTGCCAGAGCCTGGAGATGATCCAGTGATTCTCAAAGGATGAGGTCTGAGCCAGAACTGTTGGTTTCACACGGGAACTTATTACCAATGCAAATTGTTGCCCGCCACCCCCCCCCAAAAAAAACACCTGTTAATCAGAAACTCTGGGGATGGAGGCCAGCAACCTGTGTTTTAATGAGTCCTTCATCTTGCTGCATGCTCAGGTTTGGATCCACTATTCTAGCACATCAAATGACTTCATTCACCAAATTTCTGAATTGAAGCATCTTCACTTACCTCCTCCCTGATGCAAGGGTTATGTGTATCATCTCTGGCTTTCTCCTATCATCAGTCATGACCTTGCCACAAAAAAAAAAAAAAAAAAAAAAATGATAAATAGTCAAAGCCAAGCAGAGCATCAACTGGAAAAGTTCTCTGTTTCATTTGACAAGATATACAGACATCTCGCCTGTCGGGATCTATAATTTCCTTCAGGCTTGCCCTGTAGTCTAAGGGCCAAAGTAAGTGTATGTGTATTAGGGTGGGGGTGGAGACTGTTTTCTATTTTATTTTTAGGGATTAGCTAGCTAATTAAGTCTTTTGTGGTTCCTGGAGCAATCAAACTTTTCAGAGAACTTTCAAGTGAACAAAGAAAATTCAGTTAATAGGCATGGACATAAGGGAATCAACTTACTAAAATTAAAGTCCTGGAGAGGTCACAGCATGTAACCAGATTTAGGAGGATTAAATGCATTATTGTGCTTCTTTTCTCCAACTATCCATGTTATTTTCCATATTAATGTTTCTTCTCCATAGTTATGCAGGGAAGACAGATTTGACACATGCAAATACCAGAATAAACTTAACCCCTGAGAGAGGGCTTCTAAGTCAGAGGTTGCAATCTGGTGCCCAGGCACAGGGCTAGGCAGCAGGCATATCTTGTTTGACTTATATGCAATTTGGTTTGTTTGTTTAATACTTGTCAACATTTTTTAGTTGGGAGATGTCACAGAAAAATCTAGAATGTTGGCTTCCCTTGGACCTCCATTCACCATGACAACTATGGCAGGAGCCTGAAGCAGCTGCTCTGTGAAAGGACCAGACTCTCTGGGGTGCTGAGATCCCCCCACATCACTCCACTCACACTGGTGACTGTCAGTTCTGCTTTGTATCCATCCCAAAAGGTTTCCAGATTGGAGGTGCCCTATTTCCCCTAAAAAAAAAAAAGCGTCACTTCACAGACCAGGCCTACCCAGGTGACCATTCTGGAGTGATCCACTCTTTGTGTGATGCTGTTGGATACCCCGACCCTCTACTCTCACACCCCTCTCTTTACGGAACTTCTAGGCAGTAGTTATCAGGTATATACCTGATACTCAAACACATACTCTTGAATATCTCAAACAGCTGCCTCCTTGACTCTGAGAGTAGAAAATTATTCCTTAGGGCCTCCCTGGTGGCCTAGGGGTGGTCTGAGCACTATCCACTACAGCCTGAGTTCGATCACCAGGCAGGGAGCTACCCACATGGTGCAGCAGACCTCTCCTGTCTCTCCTGCTCCTCCCCTCAGCAGCATATTTCAGCGGATCCACCTATTCTGCTCCCCACTCTGTCTCTGGTGAATCCTCTCATGTCCACACCTCTGGCCTACACCCCAATTCTACACACAAAAAGAATCATTCCTTAAATTAACAACAGCTTTTAAAAGTGATGATCCATATAACAAATGAAAGAAGAAACTGTGATAGTGAAGGTGGCTATTTTATATAAAAAAACTTGAATGTTATTAAAAATTTTCTGTTTTTTGTTTTTTTAAAGATTTATTTATTTATTTATTTATTTTGGTTCTTTACAGCAACCTTATATTTTATTTTCTTTTAATTTTTATTCCATTTTACAAATGAAGCAATGGAAGCTAATGGATTTTATTTTTTTCTATAATGTAATTTTCTTTTTTAATTTAAATTTTATTTTTATATTCCCCATACACTTACAACCCCCTTATTTTGACCCGAATCCCTCCTTTCCCCGCCCCCCACCCCCCATAGAGTGTCTCTGGTTCATAGTTGTTTGTTGATTTTTTTTTAAAGATTTATTTTTATTTATTTATTTATACAAGCACTGGGTACAGTCAGAAGCACAGGAGGGTGAGAGAATTCACCAGAGCCAGAGCGGGGAGCAGAGCAGGCAGAAGAACCGAAGCACACTGCTGAGGGGAAGAACGGACGGCAGGAGAGGTCTGCACGCCATGTGGGACCCTCCTCCTGTGGCCGGGGAGCAGCTGGGGATCGAACTGGCGCTGCAGAGGCTGCGGGCATCTTCGCAACTCAGCGCTCAACCGCTGCACCACCGGGGAGGCCCAGTTGTTTGTTGATTTTGATATTTTCTTTCTTATAGTTATTCTTTTTCCTAGTCCCTTATTTAAGTTTTCTAGATTCCTGCTATGAGTGAGACCATCCAGTATTTTTCTTTTTCTTTCTGGCTTATTTCGCTGAGCATGATCCCTTCCAGCGCCATCCATGTTGCTGCAAATTGCATGTGTTTATCTTTTTTGAATTAATACCTGAAACCATAAAATACATAGAAGGAAATATAGGCGAAACATTACGTGATGTGCACATCAAAGACATCTTTACAGACACATCACCCAAAGCAGTGATAGTGAAGGCAAAGATAAACAGCTGGGACTACATCAAATTAAAGAGCTTCTGCACAGCAAGAGACAATAACAAAAACAAAGAGAAACCCCACCGACTGGGAGAACATTTTTGCACCCAACACTAATGATAAAGGACTGATCACAAAAATCTGCAAAGAGCTGATGAGACTCAACAACAACAAAGAAAATAATCCAGTAAAAAATGGGCAGAAGAGCTAAAAAGAAACTTCTCTGAAGAGGAAATGCAAATGGCCAACAGGCATATGAAAAAATGTTCAACATCACTTGTAATCAGGGAAATGCAAATCAAAACTACCATGAGATACCATCTTACACCAGTGAGAATGGCACATATTAAAAAAACTAGCAACAACAAATGTTGGCGAGGGTGTGGAGAAAAAGGAACTCTCCTGCACTGCTGGTGGGAGTGCAAACTGGCCCAACCACTGTGGAGAGCTGTGTGGAGATTTCTTGACCTACTAAACATAGAGCTTCCATATGATCCAGCGATTCCACTCCTAGGTATTTACCCAAAGGACACAGAAACATCCATTCCAAAGAGCACCTGTACCCCTATGTTTACAGCAGCACTGTTTACAATAGCTAAGCTTTGGAAACAACCCAAATGCCCAAAAATAGATGACTGGATCAAGAAGATGTGGTACATATACATAATGGAATATTACTCAGCATTCAAAAAAGATTTATTTATTTTTATACAAGAACTGGGGTACAGGCTAGATGCGCGGGAAGGTGAGAGGAATCACCGGAGACAGAGTGGGAATTAAAACAGGCAGACCGACTGAAATACACTGCTGAGGGGAGCAGCGGGCAAGACAGGAGAGGTCTGCTTCACCATGTGGGATTCTCGCCAGCTGGCCGGCATTGAACCCACACTGCAGAGGCTACAGACAGCCTCACAGAGCAGCGCTCAACCACCTGCACCACTAGGGAGGCCTTATTAACAATTTTCTTTTGAGAAATATGAGTATTTTAAGTTTCTGGACAATTCCATCACAATAATAACATTTTTCTAAGCAACTCCACTACAAAAGCACTACATCCTATTTTCTATTTGATATCTACCTTAGAAATAAAGACAACTCAGCCAGATCGTAATAGTGCAAGGAAATTATAATATTCAAAGATATGAAATTTGATCTCTATCTGTCTCTTTACTCTTGGAGGCCAGTGCTGAGAACAATTATATTCTCAGTGTGTGTCCCTGTCACAAGCTTGGGAAGGCATGGAGTTCAGTGCCCCTGCTGAGTGCAGTGGGCTGCCCTGAGTGGTCAGGGCACATTGTGGTCCTCACTCTGCCCAGGGCGCAAGCATCACCGCTGGTCTGCAATATGAAACCCACTGCCTGAGCATCCAGTCCCGAGAACAGAACTGTTTGCTTGTTGTTCTCCGAAGGCGCTCACTCTCTGTCTTCAAGACATTTAAGGGCAGAGAGTTGAGAAATGAAGATTGGAGGGTCGGGGAGGATTCGACATGCCAGCTGGTAACTCCTGTATTGTTTTCTACAGCCCAGACGGCGCTTACTCAGCAATAAGTGCTATGAAATCACTTAGCATTGCTGCATCCTCCCACCACGGTGTTTTCCAGAACAGCGTAGACAGTATCTCTGCAGCGCCCATCTGCATTGGGTACTTTCTGAACGTAATTATCCTTTGCAACTAATAAAACAGGCTATAATTATAGAGATGCTGTTAGTAGTGCCACTTTACCTCTAGGTTGCTATTTTTGTGGTTGTCTGGAATCCCAGATTTGAGCGCTTCATTACTTTCACCCACCAGTTATTGCAGGGAAGGGTGCCGCTCTCAGGGAGAGCTCTCTGGAGCAGCCCAATCAACTTTGGGGGCCTCTCTGCTTCCTTGGGTTCCTTGTCTCTTAGCTCCCAGCAGCCCTTTGATGCTCCCCTGAAAAACAGCTTACAATGCATAATTCAACCCAAGTAGAGCTTTAACCTGTGGTCTGGTGGCCTGACTTTAAATAACGGTCTAGCATCTACTGATTAAATGAGCAGGGATTTACACACAGAGGCCTCAATTTAAAATTTCAGAACAAGGCCTCCCTGGTGGCACAAGGGGTTAAGATGCAACCTATGAAGCAATCCACCACTGTAGCATGAGTTCAATCCCCGGCCAGGGAGCAACCCACATGGTGAGGCAGACCTCTCCTGTCTCCCCCACTGCTCCCCTCAGCAGTGTATTTCAGTCAATCTGCCTGTTCTGTTCCCTACTCTGTCTCTGGTGAATCCTCTCACCCCCGCACACCTCTGGCCAGTATCCCAGCTCTTGTATGCATAAATAAATAAATCTTTAAAATAATAAAATAAAATTTCAGAACAACCCACTTAGACTTGGACGTGACAAAGACCTCTATGAAACATTTGTACATTTTCTATGATGAGCATGTATTATTTTTTAAAACAACGGGGAAAGCAGGCAATAAAATTTCTATTAACTCAGGAGGACACTGCATAGGAATTTGCTATGGGGACTATGGACCTACCTGCATGAAGATATTTGCTGTTTGCAAGTGATATCTCAGTTTAAAGAAAATATTTTTAAAAGAATAAATTGATGTTTATAAAATGACAAAGGAAAAATTTGTTGCCTTGATGCAAGCATCTTGGAGGCAGCCCAAAGTATCCTTAGAACGAATGGGGGTGCCCCTCCAGCCAAAAGTAGGGGTTTCCTACAGAACTTCTAGGCCAGAATGGCATAAAGCCATTTTATGCCAAACAATCACAGTCTGAGCTATGCATACGCTGCTCTTACAGGTGAAGGACATAGACAAAAGCTTCACTAAGGAAACTACGAGAGCCTTTTACAGAAATTTGCACATGCCAACAGCCACAGGAGAAGAGTTCTGGTTAGTGAATTTTTTTCTTGCCTCCAAGATTGAACAGTGGACAGAATCAGAATTACGATGATACCTGGTGTATCTGAATGCAAACTCCTTCCCCCATGCAGTCTCTAGGAAAGTGGGTGATTTTTAAGCAGGCAATTTTGAGCCCCTAAAGGGTGATTGTGGTATGTGTGCAGACGCATGAGATTCTTACTTAAAATGTAAAAATCTCAAAATCTGTTGCCCTAGATTCCTGAGTTACTCCACACAAACCTCCCTATACGGTCCCTTTGACAATCACCTCCTCCCTCCAGCTTCCATTCGACGATCTGTTATTCTCTTGCCAGTATCATCAAGTCATGTGCCAAATGATCTTACAACACACCTTCCTGGAAAAACCCAGCTCTGTGTACACCCAACTTTCCACACTCTCCATATCATATCTCTGCAGTTAAGGACTGGGCAGAACCACACTGGCGAATTACCATTATAACAACAACAATAACAATGATGGAGGCCTCCCTGGTGGTGCAGGGGTTAAAAACATCACTATCAAGCTATCGCCAGCCACTGCAGCACAAGTTTGATCCCAGGTGGCCAGGGAGCTGACCCACATGGCGCAGCACACTGCTCTGTCTCACACCCTGCTCCCCTCAGCAGTGTATTTCAGTAGATCTGCCTGTTCTGCTCCCCACATTCTCTCTGGTGAATCCTCTCGTCCCCTGCCCCAACCCACACCTCTGGCTTACACACCAGCTCTTGTACACATAAATAAATAAATTTTAAAAAAACAGTTAACAATGATGGAAAATATGAAGGGCTTACTACTGACCAGACACCACACTAAGTGCTTTACATATGTTAACCATTTAATCCTCCCAGCAACTCCATACCAACCCAGCATGCTACAGTTATTTGTGCTGCAGCAGGATGCTGAGAATAGATATTACACACACCTTCTCGAAGTCACAGCTTCAGAGTAGGGACTGCCGGTGACTTGAATCCAGGAGAGTCTGATTTCAGAGCCCTGGCCCCTCACACAGCAGAGCAGATCCCACGTTCTCCTCTCGCTGACTGCACCATTCAGCGCTCTTCTCCCGGCTCTCGCAAATCTTCTTCATTCTCCTAGACTCCCCACCTGAAGTTGAGGGCCTCAGCTCCTGCTTGACAGGAAAAACAAGAGCTTTCACAAAAGAACTGCTCTGCTTCCCATGGTCAACCCTGTGAAAACAGCACCCCCTCTCACCCCTTCTTTCAAGGCAAGTTTCTCCACTGTAGCCTGAGTCCCATCCCACCCACACCTTCAACTCATATTTGTCACCTGTATTTGCAGGTAAACAGGCTCTTTCTTCCCTCGAGTCTGTCCCGGAACAAAGTTATTCCTCTCCTTCACTACTTGGGACACACATTCAGAAGAATTTCCTCAAGTGATGGGGTACATGGAGCCCCTCAGCTGCCCCCACCACACCCTAAGCTTCCCTCCCTCATCATCGCATATATTCTAGACGCCTCTGAGGCTTCTGCTGGACACAAACCACCCCATGCAGGCAGGGAACCGGCTCCCTGCATACTTCTCGGGCCTGGCGCAGTGCTTGGCATAGAGCCCACACCCTGGGTATGACTTGGGTGAATAAATGATTGGATTAATGGAAGCAAGGAGCTGCAATGTGATAGAGAAGTTTAAACTTGGCAGAGCACATACTTAGTGAAATAATAAAAAAGTCATTAAAACTTCGGCGCAAAGGATGAAATGATACAATCTGAGGGTTTTGCTGTTTTGTTTTATAAGACTCATTTTGTCATGTCTTTGGAATAAAATGAAGTGCAGAGGCTCGAGCTCTGAGACCAATTACAGCAATAATACAAGCAGAAAGCGACAAATGCCTCATCTAAGGTCACAACAGTGGAAATGAAATCATAATTTGGAAAAAAATCAAGACTTTCTGATGAGTCCATTATGTGGGCAGAACACAACTGGATGAGTCAAAATTATTCCGTCTATTTCTGGATTCCATTTTCTGGACGTAAGTGACTATCGAGTGTAAGGTGACACGTCCATTATCAGGTGCCCTTGGCTACTTGCTTAAAACTTATTTAGCTTGTTTTAGTTTAAAACGAACATATGCCTTGAATATAGTTGATGCCAACTGAGCAAATGAATTTACATTCCTCTTTTATTGCCTCAGATCTCTTTTTGGAAGGTAGGAAATAAATAAATACATATACATATGACTTTAGATATGCAGTTGTGTGTGCCACACATGTGTGCACAAACACGGCAATATGATTAATCACATTCCTATTTCCTCTATCTTCCTTTTCAATCTATAGAAATCATAATAACCACTAGAATGAAATCTTTTCCTTGGATTTCTCCAGTCAAACCTTAATCTCCTATTAGCAATCCTTGCTCCAAACCTTTTCCTATCTGACTTATGTTTTTCTAACTTGAATTTATTATCCTCTGAATATTCTTCATCAAGCACTGAAAAAGGACAATAAGCAAGCAAACTTCTATTTACAAAATAAATAAATCATGTGCTATAACGCACAGCATAGTGTCAGCAGTCAATACTATATTTATTGTGTAGTTCAAATTCCCTAAGAGAATGGCGCTAACAGTCAAAAGAAAAAAACTGTAACTATATGCGAGGATGGATGTTAGAATTTTTGTGATGATCGTTTCACACTACATGCAAATATTAGATCATTATGTTGTACAGCTGAAACTAACATCTCACAAATGTAATGACATGTCAGTTATACTTCTATACATTTTCTTAATTTAAAGAAATGCAAATGGATAATAAGCCCATGAAAAAGGGCTCAACATTATTAATCATTGGGGAAATGCACATTAAACCACAATGAGATACCATTTTACACCCACTAAAATGAATTTAATAAAAAGATAAGAACAAGTGTCAGCAAAGATGTGGGGGAAACAGAAGCCCTCAGATAGGCTGGTGGGAGAGAAAATGGTGCAGAGGGGCCAAGATGGCAACAGAGGATGAGCCTTGCTTCACTCCGCCGCTAGAGAGAAGGGGCTGTTTAATTTAGAGAGGCGGGAGTCTCCTCTTGGGATGAAACCAGAACACTCCTTGCACATCAGAGACCAATGCAATAAGCACAGAAGAGAGTCACGCTTTATTTTACAGAAGATAAATGAAGAAAAACACAGGCTGCAGTGTAAGGCTGGGGAGACGGATGGTGGGGCTACAGATTCAGCCAGAGGCCCTGGTGAGGAAAGAGCTGAACAGTGTGGAGCCACACACCCCTACGGATAGAAACCACATGCGTAGGAGCTGGGGTGCTCCCCACAGGCCAATCCCCCAATAAAAAATACAGATACATTGCACTGGACTGCACACCCCCTCCCACCCCGTAAGGCCATACAGACTTCTAAGGGATACTGAGGGTGCACAGACCAGAGCGTTGCAGATCCAGATCCCGGCCAGGAGAGCTATTGGAGATGCCCTGAACGCCCTCCAGCTCTGCCTCCCACACATTCCCACCAGCTGCTGGAGCCCTCCAGGCCCCTCCCTCAGCCTATGAATCAGCAAAAACAGGTCTCAGCTCCTAGGGAAACCAGCAAGGGCCATGAGAAAACAACATCAAATGAACTTAAAACACAGCGCCACCTACAGGAAAAGCAGAAGTCGATCAACTTTCTAAGTTCCTGTCACAGATACTTTTTTTAAAAAAGATTTATTTATTTATCTATTTATTTATCTATCTATTTATTATTTATTTATTTATTTATGCAAGCACTGGGTACAGTCAGAAGCGTGAGAGGGTGAGAGAATTCACCAGAGCCAGAGCGGGGAGCAGAGCAGGCAGAAGGACCGAAGGACACTGCTGAGGGGAGCAGCGGGCGGCAGGAGAGGTCTGCACGCCATGTGGGACCCTCACCCAGTGGCCGGGGAGCATCTGGGGATCGAACCGGTGCTGCAGAGGCTGTGGGCAGCTTCGCAACCCAGTGCTCAACCGCTGCTCCACCGGGGAGGCCCCTGTCACAGTTACTTTTTAAAAACAGGAAGCAGCAACCTAAGTGCCGGAGAACAGATGAGTGCACATAAAAGATGTGATATATATGCAATGGAGTCTACTCAATTATACAAAAATATACATAAAATCCTGCCATTTGGGGCAACATGGATGAAAAGGGAGACAGGGGAAGAATTATGCTAAATGAAAAAAGAGAAAGAGAAAGACATTATCAGTCAGATGTGGAATACAGAGAAACAAAGCAAAAGAACAAGAAAACTAAACCAAAACAAACCATGGAAATTTGATTATAGAATTGAGGCTATCAGAGTGGAGAAGGGTCAGGTTGAGGAGCAAAGGGAAGAAGGGAACCAATAGACTGTGGTGGAGGATTTGGGGAGCTTTGGCGGTGGGTGTGCTGTGGTAACATGTATCTGAGGAAGTGTGAACCTTACCTCTAAATCATACACAGTGCTGGAAACCCACATTACCTCAATAAAAAAAATAGAATTTAAATAAGCAAAGTGGTGCAGCCACTTTGGAAAACAATGACAATTTTTTGTCATTGTTTAAAAAGTTTAAACATAAAGTTTCTATTTGACTCAGTATTTCCACTTCTAGGAATATATTCAAGACAAACACACATTCATAACAACATTATATATAATAGTCAAAAGATGAAAATAACATGAACGTCCATCCATTGGTGGATGGGTAAACACAATGGAGGGAGTTGCAGTTTGTGGCCATAAAAAGGAATGGAGCAGTGGCACGTGCTACAGAGCGGAGTGATGTTGAAACCATTATACCATGTGGAAAAACCAGTCATCAAAGACCACATATTATATGATTCCTTTTACAGAAAACCTCTAGAACAGACATAGAAAATAGGTTAGTGGTTTGGGGGAAGGAAGGATGGAAGGGAAGTTACAGTGAAAGAGCAGAGGACTTTGTTGGATAACGAAGATGTTCTAAAATTGAGTATAGGGCCTCCCTGGTGGCCCAAGGGTTCAAGCGCAACCTATGAAGCTGTCCACAGCCTCTGCAGCATGAGTTCAATCCCTGGCCAGGGAGCAATCCACATGGTGCAGCAGACCTCTCCTGCCTCACCCGCTGCTCCCCTCAGCAGTGTATTTCAGTGGATCCGCCTGTTCTGTTCCCCCGCTCTGTCTCTAGTGACTCCTCTCACCCTACCGCATATCTGGCCTGTACCCCAGTTCTTATATGCATAAATAAATAAATCTTTAAAATTGAGTACAATGATGATTGCACAACACTATGGATCTACTAAAAACCATTGGACCATCCACTGTAAATGAATGGATTCTATGGTGTGTCACATCTCAATGAATATTTTAGAAGCAATAACTGAAGCAAAATTGAAGTGCTATCTTTTATCAGCTTGCTTATATGAAGAAAAAGAGCAAAGAAAATGAGGGTTACTAATTTTGGCAGTGGAGGGTTAGATATATTTATGCCAAATGAGTATTTTTTCAAGAAACAAATTGGAAAAGTAATAAATATAGCAATAGTTGAAGTCAGTTTGAATGCTACCAATAATATTTCCTTTCTGCCCCCACTTAGAGTAAATCGTGTGTGAAATTTTGTCTATCATTTTGCTGAATTTTGGTTCACTGGTTCTGTTCCATGGAAAAGAAAAGTGTCAAGAACTGGGGGGTGGGCCTCCCCGGTGATGCAGTGGTTGAGCGCTGGGTTGCGAAGCTGTCGCAGCCTCTGCAGCGCCAGTTCGATCCCCGGCTGCTCCCCGGCCACCAGAGGAGGGTCCCACATGGCGCGCAGACCTCTCCTGCCGCCCGCTGCTCCCCTCAGCAGTGTGCTTCGGTCCTTCTGCCTGCTCTGCTCCCCGCTCTGGCTCTGGTGAATTCTCTCACCCTCCCACGCTTCTGACTGGACCCAGTGCTTATATAAATAAATAAATAAATCTTTAAAAAAAAAAAAAGAACTGGGGGAAATGGATGAGCTAACAAAAATATTGAAATAAAGTCTTTTCCTTAGGAGGAAAAATTAAACCAAAACAAACTTCAAATTCATCCTTCTCTGAGATCCCTTCCAAACTCTATTTTCTCATACGTAGAGTGTGATGGAGAGTATTTAACTAAATAGATACCTCAAAATTTCCCCCAATTCCAAAATGTGATCACTATAAACCAGA